ACCCTTCAGCAAGTGTGGAGAGGTCAGTCCTAGACAAGCTACGTCTTCAAAAAACCTCTGATTGAGGTTTCAGCAGCCCCGACATGCAGATGCGGGACCTGAGCCTCCGGGTGGTTGCAGCACTGCTAGGAAGGGGCGGACCCTGCATCTCAGCTCAGGTGTAGCAAACCCAGGAAGGCACCCCAGCTGATCCAAGTCAGCAACCATGGGACCAGGGGCTGAGGATGCTAAAATGGTGTGGAAGGGAGCTGTCAATGGGATAACATATAACATTGCCAAGCAACCCTCAGAATGGCCTCCTATTCACGTTAAAGATGCAACAGCCACGTTAGGCAGCTAATAACCGACGGCTGTGCGTGTTTTCTGACTCAATAGCCAGAAATAGCTCTCTGCCAAGAGCAGAGATCTGATGGAACAGGAGGGTAGGTACCCAAATAGTTAGCATGCACGCTGAGCGGTCAATAGTAAGGGCCAGCATTATCATCGGGTGTGGATACGACGCTATCTAGTCAGAGGGGGATGGATAGCGAGGATCGCTACTGAGTGAGAGACAGAAAGCCAAATGGGAGGGTAGTACTCCTGACGTCCAAGGGCTATTCCACGGGCTTTCTGTAAATCGCGGGGGGCAGCTCACAAGCAGGGGTCAGTGAGACAGCCCAGTGATACCATGCACACACGTGTGCTGGGAGGGGGATAGGTAGCTGGGTAGTGTGGTTAGGAAGGCCTAAGTTAGTCCAAAACAGGAAAATGCCACTGAGCTGGATTCTTGATGTGGTCGAGCCAAGTGAGCTGCTGGCTCTGCTCGGGATGCAGAGACCTGGATACTGATCAACCTTGCCCAGTAGGGGCTAAAGATAAATCCCACATCGAAAGTTCTAGGTGTGGGACACCTGGGTGGCTCAGAGGTTAAGCATCTGCCTTTGGCTCAGGGTGTGATCCCAGGATCCCGGAATCAAGTCCCACATCGGGCTCCCTGCACGGAGCCTGCTTCTCCCTCTGCCTGTGTCTCTGCCTCTCTCTCTCTGTGTCTCTCATAAATAAATTAATAAATAAGATCTTAAAAAAAATTTTTTTAAAGAAAGAAAGTCCCAGGTGTGCTCCAATAAGGCCATCGGAGGGTGAAGGTGACATACGAAGGATGCTCTCCCCCTCTAAGAGCTCCTCTGTCTGAACCCTCAGGAGCACATGGACCCTTCTGGAGCTCAGTCTCAGAGGGATGGGAGGAGAGAGCAGGAAGTCCTAATGAACAGTCCTGAATTCTCTTACTTCTTCAGAAAAGCAATCACTTTTCAGACATCAATTAGCTTTAGAAGAACACTGCACAAACTCCTTTCATACAAACTCCTCTCTTCAAACCTCCTACCCTGGTTCCGAGCCAGCCAGCCGTGTGTTAGAAATGGCCCCGTGCCCCTCCATCGCTCATTGATCACCAAGGCTATCCAGGGGCGGGGTGAAGAAAGTGACATCTTTTCATGAAGATCACTCGTTTTTTGGGCTTCAAGAAGTCAGAATTCACGAGTCACTCAATTATAAAGCATTCCATTTCACCGAACTTTATTTAATGGTGTCAAAACGGACAGAAATATGGAAAATACACATACCAATAAAGGGTAAGTTGAGAAGATTCATGAAGCATCTTCAATCATGCAGTACATACTAGCTCACTCACTGTTTATTGATCCACTGTTTACAATGGATTTGCTGTTACCTGCCCACCAGTAAAGGAATTTAAATATGAAAATTGAATGATCTCCTGTGGGACATGGGGACGCAGTGGCTGACATCTGCCATCAGGGATTGGACTGAGGCAAACAGGACTTGTGCAAAATGGCAACACCCACCACCACAATGGCTCGCTTTGTTCCTGCTACTGTACATCTCTAGGTTGCATGTGGGTTGAATTCCTCAAGTCTCTCCACTGGTTAATTTTCAGAGAACCAGGTATTTGACTCAGGTAGCCGACTCAGCAGGTTATTTGACCCAACCCTCCTGTTTTACTGATAGAGAAGTAAAAATAGGTTTCAAGACCACACAACTAGCTAAAGGTAAGGAAGGGTAGGACATGGGTCTTATAGCAGTTTGAGATTATCTGTATATTTATTTTTGATAGTGTTTAATTTAATGGCTAATGGTTTAATGGCTCCTAACCTGTCAGCTTTTAAATTGCCTTGTCAAAAAGTTTACTTTCCATAGCCATGCTAGCCGATACAATAGTCACTAGTTACATATGCTATTGACCTCTTAAAATGTAGTTAATCCAAATTGAGATGTTCCATAAGTGTAAGACTTAACATGGAAAAAAAACCCATTTGTAAAGTATCTTATCAGTATTCTGAATCAATTACATCTTTAAATGGTCATTTTTGACAGATTGGGTTAAAGAAAATATCTAAATTTATCACACTGGTTTATTTTTACTTTTCTAACTTGATTTCTAGGACATTTGAGTTTATACATGTGGCTCACACACTTTATTTACATTGAACAGTGCTGAGTTATAGGAAAACACTTCACTGCATTAAGGACAGAGCTACAAGGAATCTTTCTTTCCTGAATTTACCAATGGCAAGAGCAAAGCAAGAGAGGATGAGAGAGCACCTGCTCCGGGCACTCTGGAGAACCCTCACCTGGTGAAGGAAGGAAAACTTGCAAGACTCATAATGAAATAAAAACTAAAGCATAACATGAAGTCAATTAAACAACTTGAGGCTAATCCTTAATTGTGCACGCACGTGCAAATTTAACCTGCAAGACAACAAGGGCAATCATGACAGTGTGACAACCATCTCCTTCCCTTTTGATTAAGAGCAGGTATTTTCCTAGAAAAAGCATAACCAAAAACAATGTCCTAGAAACCAGCTGTGTCTTTAAAGAGACATCTGTCCCCTGGAAATAGCCACACTCGATAGACAGACAGACAGACATCCAACCCACTTATAGGTGAGAATGGGACACAAAGTTACAGGGCAGCACTGAGCCCTTTCTAACTTCAAACAGTTTGCAGGCAACTTCCTCTCCCCCCCCCCCAGAAAAACCAAATGCTCCTCTTTATAACAAAGAAATTTTTTTAGTGCAAAACTTCACTGCATTCATCTTGGGGGCTTGGGAGGGGGTGAGAATGACAACTTTGTACAAATCAATAAGGTTCATTACATGTCAACTATGGCAACAAAATTAGAAGAGGGAACAACACATGACTATCGGCACAGATGCACTCTCTTTTTGACAAAGAACCCTTGCTATTTTATTTTTCAAAGGGTTTTAATTTTCAGTATGATGTGCAGGTACCCGGGGAGAGACAGCATTCATGGGCTGCTGGCAATGCCAGATTGCCAGACACAGGCGCAGAGGCACTCCCACAACTCGGAATTCAATTTGGGTTGTTTTCTGAGTCTCTCCTTAGGAACAAACTATGAAAGCTGCCACAAGAAAAGATTCTGGAGGCTTCTGCAATAACTGTGCACCTCTAATTGCCGTCTGCAGAAGTAGCCCAGGAGGAAGCAGGGATTCCAGGCGCTGTGAGACAACCGCCTCTCCCCGCTCCCTTCCCTGCGCTCCCGGGGATCTCTCGCCCTATTACCAAAATAACCATCATGTGTTAAAGGGGGTAAAAATGCTTCCCCTGCCTCGTCCCTCCTGTTCCTGCAAGATGCACCATGGGGCTTCCAATGCCTCAACCCACAGGAACGCTGAGCTCCTGCAATTCCACAGACAGAACTGTTGACAATTTGCAATTTCAGGAAACGACAAAAAAAAAAAAAAAAAGAAAGAAAAGAAAGAAAGAAAGAAAAGAAATAGTATTATCCACCGCCCCCTCCCCCGGGGAAAATCTGTTAAATTTATTCTAATGTTACCCTCCCCTTGTCTCTCCCTCCCTCTCCACCTCTTCAAATCCAAATGCCACCAGAAAAGAAGCACATTTGGACTGATCTGGAATGTAAGATGCTCCAGCTTTTTATCGTTACCTAGAACAATCTTCCCTACAAAGAATATTTTACAGCTTTTTAGTTCGACGCTGGAGCGGTCCCCTACGCTAAGACAAGCTTCTCCCTTGGAAGGGGGTCGCTGGAAAGTTGATAAGGGCAGAGATGTAGAAGACACCCCTGAGGAAGGAGCGCTGTGTCACTGCACAGCTGGAGAGGCTGAACCCACCAGGCGCTGCATTTCACGGGCCAACGGAGAGGACTCCCAGTGCACAGGGCTTGCAGTTTAAAAGTCTCCCAAACCCCCAAGAATGGGCACTGGAGTTCTTTAAAGGAGAAAACCAGAATTCTCTCTCCACCCCCCCCCCCCGGCCGGATGGACGGCGGGATGGAGGACTCAGGCGGGTTCCCGCAGGGCGAGCAGCAGCAGGGCTTTGCAGGGAGCGCGGGCCGGCAGGAGTCCCTGTCATCTCGGAGCAGCCCCGTTCGCACACCTGCAGGCGGGCTGCGGCGCCTCCCCCGCGCCCGCCTAACACCTGGGAGCCGGGAGGGCCACCTGGGCAGGTCACGAGCCCCCGTCCTGCAAGAGGAGAATTATAATCTTCCCGCCGGGTCTCAGCCAAGCCCGTCAAGGGCTGCGGTGCGGTCGGGGGAAAACATGCTGAGCCACCGGCGGTCCTAACGCGCTCTGCATTTTCCTCACCTGGGACCACAGCTTGGAGGACTTGGGCAAACCCACTCCGTCAACTTCCACCCTAGAAACACCTGCCCCACAGAATTCCCGAAAACACCAACTCCCGCGTTGGAAGAAAGCCCGCGTCGGGTACGGACCTGCTTTTCCAGAGAACCCGCTGGAGACGGAGAGCGCCCAGGCGCACCCCCGCCCCGACGCGGATGCAGAAACGCAGCTCCCTCTCCACCCCCCACCCCGCGGCCAACTCCAGGATCCCGATCGCCTGCTCGCCCTCCCGGAGGGCGGCAATCCCTTTCCCGGGGCTCCCCAACCGGGATGCCCCGGGCCGTCGGCGCCCCAATGCGGACGCGGCGGAGCCCCAGCAAGGGGGGGGGGATCGTTACCTGAGGAGCCGCGCAACTCTGCGCCGAGCCTCTCCCGAGCTCCAGCTCGCCTGGCACAGGACGGGGCGGCGCAGGCTGTGCGGCTGCGGGCTCCTCCCGAGGCAGGCGGGGCGCGCGCTCCCTCGCGCCGCCGCCGTGACGCCGCCGTCAGCTGCCCGCCCGCCCCGCGCCCCGCGCCCTGCGCCCCCCGCGCCCCCGCGCCCGCGCGCCCCTGCGCCCCCGCGCGCCCCGCACCTGCGCCCCGCACCTGCGCCCCGCACCTGCGCCCCCGCGCACCTGCGCCCCCGCGCCCCCCGCGCACCTGCGCCCCGCGCGCCCCGCACCTGCGCCGCCGGCCGGCCGCTCCTCCTGCCGCTCCCCTCGCTCCCCTCGCCCCGTCTTCAGTCCCCGACTTCTGAGCCAGCCAGCTGCTGCAGCGGCCGCCGCTTTTGCTCGAATGGCGCCTGCTCGCCTCCAAAGAGCTTTTAGGTGCCACCTACTGCATGCTCCTGGAATCGGTGGCCGGGACTGGAATTTTCTGAGAATTCAATGAATTACAATCATTCCATGGAAAGTGCACCAGATTCTTTTGTTTTAGATCCGTCACATCACCAACTGGGGTCCCCACGAGCCGCGTAAGCTTTTCTTTCAGGGTCCAGATACCAGGTGAAGCACCTACTGATGGAGAAGGCGAGAGAGGGCCGCGCCGATACGGATTAATACTTCTCATTTAATAGACTCCTGTGACAGTGACCGTGGACCATCTCCGGCCAGAACTGCCTCCCCCCCCCCCCCAGTAGTTCCACATTAGCGATTGCAGGAAATAACCAGGTTTATTTTCCGACAGGCATAGACCATTTTGTCTAAGAAGCATTGATCAGAAACAGGTGAATCAGCAAGAAATGAGATTTATGGCTCACAATGCTGTGCCAACACTTTTTTAAAAATGCTTTCCTGTAACACTGATGGAATATTGAATTTAAACTACAGGTCTGAGGAATATTTTAACTCCCTATTATAACTCATTCTTTTTTAATACCAGTTTTTCCAAGAGACTTGGGCAAGTGTTTTGTTGTTCTTTAAATTTGACTTAGCTTATAGAATCCCATTTACCTGTTCTAAACCTGTCTTGAGTTTTTGTATCATTTCAAATTACCCTAATCTTTGATGTTCACTTACAAAGCACATTTCCTGCCCTCTTATTTACAGGAAATATTTTTTTTAAAAAAATCTTACTTAGAATGATAATTATAATCCAGAAAATTTATTTTTACCACTAATTCACCCTAATCCTGACCTAGAAGCTAAGGCCATTGGAATAGGAAAAAAAAAAAAAGGATACCATTTTTGTCAAAGTCATTGAAGGCCACTATGGGCAAATCTACCCCTATTTTAATGATGCAGGAAAGCGGGGTGGCGACTCCGTCCAGGTCTGCTCTTTGGTATAAACAGATGGCCAATAGGAAAGCCATCTCAGGGGAGGGCTCAGGTACCCTGATGATGACTTCTGGGCACTGCCTACCTCCATTTCTGGAATCTGAAAGTACCCAGGCTAACAAAATAAGATGTGGTTTTCCACAACAACCAAAAATGTAGGTTACCAGGTTAAATGGTAAAATGGAAGTTGAGGACTAAGTGGAGAATGGCAAAGAGATTTGATGGTGTGGAAGTACTGAAGGTGGAAAGCTTATCCTAGCCCAGGCCTGGAAGGAGAGAGAGAATCTGGACCTTGTGAATGGAACCAGTTGGTTCTGCAAATTCGACACTGCAGAAGAATCTGCATTTTGCCACATGCAGTCATTATTTGTCCTGAGAATGTGATGCAGGGGCCCCAAAAGCCCCATTGAAACAGGAGCAGCACACTTACAATGACATCCCTGGCTGGCCTGTCACCCTCAAACCCTGACTTTTCTCTGGCCAGGAGAAATAGGTGGCTCCTAAAATCTGACTTTAATAAGATGCTCAGGAGATTTTTCAGCCTGTTGGACTTGAGAAGCTCTAGGCCAATGTCTCTCAAACTCTTAGCATGTTCAACACAGTCAGCTAAGCCACACCCCAGAACACCCCAGATGTTCTGACTCAGCTGAGGGCGAGTGGGGGGGGGGTTCCAAAGTAGGTGATTCTAACAGGTTCCCTGGGCATGCTTAGGCTGCTTAGAGCAGGGACCTGCTGAGATCAATCACCACCCAGGTGATGTCGAGACTAATAACACATGGCAATGTGTTCCGGTAAGAGAAACATACATACTCCTATTTTTCTTCAGCAAATCAAAACCAAGATAGCCAGGCCAGCATCCCCCAGTTAGAGGAAGCCCTGTCCTTCCCCGAGAATCACACATGAACCTCAGAACCTTTGGGGGGGGGCTGTAAAAAAAACTTCCTCAGCTATGTTCCCACTTTGCACTCTCCACCTAGGACCAGCCAAACTCACCCTTTCTGCAAAGTAGAAAAAGGACCCCTCCCTTGGGGGACACACTCTCCACTTGCCACCAAGATGATGCAGGACTTGAGGAGCAGAGAACTCTTGGTGCAAAGAATCTTCCTGGAGCAGATGCTACCCACTCCAGGTTTCCAGAGGGGTGAGTGCAGGGCACCTGCTGGACCCCAACCTCGCTCTCACCCTCTGCGGGTCACCTTTGTACATGACACAAACTTCCCAGGCAAACACACCCAGCCCATTCCTCCCCCAGGCCAGCACTGCTCACCTGGGTGCTGGCAGCTCCATTTAGGACCTGATGTCACAGGTCCTCAGAGTGCCAGATGCCATGGAGGGAGAAGCAGAGCCAAAGTCTAACATCAGGGCTCGAGGGGGGTAAGGCAGGAGATGCTCTAGTTGGCTGCTGGGCAAGCATACATGTGATGAAAAGATATACCTTTGGACTGTGTTTCCTCCATGTCTCATGGACTCACTTTCATCTTCTTTTCTCTGAGACACTGGCTTGGGCACCAGTGGTAGCAGCAGCAGCTGGGAACTTACTAGGCAAGCACATTTCAGCCTCTCCTGTCTTCCTGACTCAGGAACTCAGAAGGTGGGGCCCAGAACATGTGTTTAGCAAACAATCCAGGGGATCTGGATGACACAGGGTAGGGTTTGAAACCCACCGCCCTAACCTAAGCCTTTCTATCATATTTGTAACAAATTCCATGTCAGCCTAACTCCTTAAAAATCATTGAAAAGGCACTGCTTTAATGGAATGCGCCAGGGGGACAATGCACACCACCTCCAGGTGTTTCTGTCCTGTGGAAGGTCTTTCGGGATTGCAGCCCTTATGCCCTGTCCATGCAGCTGTCCCTTCTAAGGGCCTGTCTCCCAGTGATCAGGCCAGTGGTCAGGCTGTCCACCTACAGGGCTGGCCCTCTTCAATCCATACTCTTGCCTCCATCTTCCCCTCATGGAGCCTAATCCCTGGACAGGTCAAACACTCCAACTGACTGCTCAGCTCTGCAATGTAAGAGGCCTTGCAGATGTCTACTCGGAGGAAGGGAAGCCCAGGCCCAGGAAAATAAAGTCTTCCCACCAAAGGGAAGAAGAGAATGAAGTTTTCTTTTGATTCTTGTCCATGAGTTTGCAGGCCCGGAAATAAGGGCTCTGAAATTGGGTTGGCCCTCCGGAGATGTCCCACATCAAAGGCTACCTTGGGATTAGTCATCACAGGCTGTCCTCTCCCCAGGCCCTTTCTGAGCCAATTCCCAGGAAGGGAGTCAGCTGAGAGCCTTCAGCAGCAAGACTCCAGTCACGGGGGTTGCCAGGCTTCAGGTCCCGAGCGGTGGCTGTGGTTGTGCACTGCAGCAGAACCTCAGCAGCCACGGACGATTTCCAGAGATGGGCATCCACTTACCATGAATGAAGAAGGCCAAAGGCAGGTCTTTTTGCAGGAGAAGACTCTATTTTTCCATTGGTTTCCATCTCAGTTCTCTATTTTTAATCATCCCTTCAGGCTTTGCCCAGCTGTACTGGATGCTTTTAGGTCTAAGGAGGCTTTGCTTCTGTTCTTCCTCCCCTCCCTCAACACTGGGAGGACAAGGCCCAGGCATCATGCTTGCTATCTGTTCTTAATCTTTTCAGCTTACCGGGGCTACACAGATGCTAAAGCTGACATCTGTTCTCTGTAATCTCGAGAGTTTCTCATCCCTGCCTTATCTAAGGTTGACCTAGTTATCTTGGTCTACTGAAATATTAGCGAACACACACAGATGATTATATCCATAAAATGCAGCCCTGTGTACTCATCTGCTCTGCCTATGCCTGGATCCTGCTCATGAAAACCTTTGCTTTTCCTCCTCCCCAAACCTTTCACTGCATCCTTTGGGACACCTGGGCCTTAGCTATCAAGCTTCTCTAAATGCTAGACTACTTGGTAGAAGTTTGCTTCTCTTTTGACCTCATTAAAAGCTGACAGTTAACCCGTCCCCGCTTCTCCTGTAGCATCTAAGCAGAGGCAGTCTCTCCTCCCATGCTCCATTATCTCCTTAATCTCCGAGCAGTCTCTCCTGAATCATAGCCTCCCCTCTGGCTGCAGGATCCAGCCTCCTTCTGGACTGTCCCAGCCTCTCCCCTTTGTCTTGCTGTCCTTTGGGTCGTCTGTTGTCCTTTGGGTTTAGTGGTCTTCCTCTCCACATGGATCCAGTGCCACCTGACCACCCACTCTCTGCTTTCTTATGCCCATGGTCTCCTTGTCCCCAGTGGCTTCTTCTCTACACATCTTGCCACACGCATCATGGTGAATTGCAGGGCAGCAGGATATTGGTTTCTAGCATGCCCCCACTCAAGGCCATACCTCCTCCTTGGGAGGCCACTTTCTGCCCTAAGCTCAAGATCACCTTCCTTTTAAGTATCCATCTTTCCTACATCATCACTGCTCCTGTTCTTACCTGCAGTATATGTAGAGAAACAGGCTTGCTGTCCCCCTCACTCTTGTCCTCCATGAAGAACTGAAAATATCGAAGGCTACACTGATGAATCTGAGCCTCTGCCCTCATCCCTGCTCATGATTTCCAGTCTGTTCTCCAAGCATCCAGGAGGAGCAGAGCAGGGAGGCCCTGTGGCATCCCAGAGCTTTTAGACTCAAGCCCAGCC